TTTTTTTTTTTTTTTTTTTTTTTTTTTTTTTTACTTTTTACAATAACAGAAAAAGGGAATTGGCTGTAAAAGTGGGGCCTACAATGCGGTGTAACCGTGTAAGAATCGCCGATCTGAAATTACAAATCGCTTTGAAAGCTAGCCGAAGCCGCTTTCTCGCCGTTTCTTAACGCTTTCAGCTTTTGGACGCGCTCTCTCTCTCTCTCATTATTTCTTTTTATTTATTTATTTATTTTCTCGAATTTCTCAGAGAATTTTTTCGTATACAGACACAGAACAAGGCTGAATTATTATACTATTTTAACTTGCTGCAGTGTTTTTTGTAATTAAAAAAACATTTATTATTTTCACTTGAGAAGTTACGCAATCAATGAATTATTCCATCTTTTATCTTTATTATTGCGCTTACTCAAAAGCTTTGAACCTTTTGAGCTATGGGCCTTTACCTGAGAGCCCAATTAACATAACATTATTACATGGACCGGACCGGATGTGCAGCGGTTCATCCATTTTGGTAGCTGCATCTGTCGGTTTGTTTTTTCTGGTAGCCGTCTTAAATTAAGCCGAATGTAGGAAGGCAACAAGTCCAAGTGAGTGTTTCTGGAAATGCTTGGCCTCTTGCAAGAAGCAAACGAGGGGGAGTTTTAAGCCATTAACTCATTTCTAACGCCAATATCTTCATCCTCTTCTTCCATCCGAAGCAGCTCCATTTGCGTCATCGGAGACTCTCATCCATGGCCGGTCTTCTTCTCCACTCCTCTTCAACTGCCAGCGTTCTGGTATGCCCATCTCTAATTTTTAATTTCTTTAATCGCTTCGTCTTCCTCTTCTTCGATGTTGCTGATTTTCCTGTTTGATTCTATTGAAAGCTTGGAGGAATGGGGAAATTTAGGGAAGGGAATCGTCATTCGATTTTTTCGCCCAAGAAACCTATGCGTGCTAACCGCCTTCGTCTCGGCTGCAGTAATTCAACGAATGGCATCTGCGCTTTCCTTTTCAATCCTTTGGAGGATCCTGTTGTCAAAGAAGCTCTTAAGGTATTCTATTAACTCTTCCATGAAAAACCCTTCCTCGGTTTTGGCTGTTGTTCTACTTGGATTAAGGTCATTCTTGCTTGCTGAGTCTGGGCAAAATATGGAGGGGTTCATTAATTTCCCTGTGTATTCTCATAGCACTTGAAACACAGATTATCTTTGATAATTGCTTGCCTCTTCGAGTAGAGCATAAACATGGTCACATTTCTACAAGTGCGAGTTAAGATGGATGTATGATTTTTCCAGTCATGTCATTGCTGAAACTATTAGAACTATTTAGGGCCGTAGGGAATCTATTTACTGGTAAAAGAAAGTCAATTTAACCATTTAATGTCTCTGATGAACACGACTGCATAACATAAGTATTCTTGAACCAACTCTTATGATGTGCAAATAATAATCTTGAACTAACTTCAAAGGAGAATGAAAATGTCTTCATGATCTGTAAGGTTGAGAAAAATGCGTCGTGATGTTCATAGCTTGAAAGCCTCTAGTAATAGAGAACTTCAATCACATTCCTCGCTTTTAGGAGGTGTAAAGCTCTTTGTATTGTTTGGGTTTGGGAAAACTTTTGTGAGATCCTACATTGATTGAGGAGGAGAACGAAACATTCTTTATAGGTGTAGAAACCTCTCCCTAACATACGTATTCTAAAAACCTTGAGGGGAAGTCCGAAAGGAAAAGCCCAAAGAGGACAATAGCTGGTAGTTGGTAGGTTTTGGCTGTTACGAATGGTATTAGAGACAAACATCGGGCGATGTGCCAGCGAGGAGGCTGAGCCCTGAAGAGGGTGGACATGAGGCGGTGTGCCAACAAGGATGCTAGGCCCCGAAGGAGGTGGATTGGGGGGCCTCGCATCAATTAGAGAAGGGAACGAGTGACGCTAGGCCTCGAAAGGGGGTGGATTATAAGATCCCACATCAGTTGGGGAGGAGAACGAAACATTCTCTAGAAGGGTGTGAGTCTATCCGACGCATTTTAAAAACCTCGAGGGGAAGCTCAAAGGGGACAATATCTGCTAGCGGTAGGCTTGGGCGGTTATAAATTCAGCTGATTTTTGCCTCGGTGTTTGGTAAGACTGAAATTTTCTGGAACCTTATTGGCATCTCATCACTGAGATCCGTCGTCTCCACCATGGTGTGTTGGCTTTCACACCATGATGTTGCTGAACTGACTATTTGGCACCAGGCTTATCTGAAATATAATGTTGGTTGATTTCCAAATTCCTTACTGCTATGGACAGTGCTGAATACATTTCCATGGAATTGAGGCAGTCCCAATCAGTTGTTGCGACTGAATGTTTGAGAGTTTGTTATTGTTTTTTCATCATTTATAAAGTAAACAAGCTCTGCCAGTTCAAATTCTTACTGTTGCATTAGGATTCTTTGTTAGTTCCGTCTGGAGTATATAGATTAAGATGATGAGGCTCGTCAGCTGGGATATGTGAATTCCTTAGATGAAAATACTCACTCTACTATCAAATGCTTCATATAATGTTAAAAGTAATTTCAATCGTTGTAGGAGCCAGTTGCGTTCGCAGGTGGGCTATTTGCTGGGCTTCTAAGGCTTGATTTGAACGAAGATCCATTAAAGGAATGGGTTAAGAAGACAGTAGAATCTGCAGGAATCACAGAGGAAGTTGACACCCAAGGATCTGTACAAGAGGATGGCCCGACCGAGATCGAGATTGAATGATCCCATGAATATAAACTGGAAAAGTGGGGATAAAAGGGTATCTGATCTGATTCGTCTCAATATTACTATGGCTCCCTTGATTTAGAATAAGAAATGAAATGGTTTAGGAGTTACCCCCTTTTCATAATCCAAATACTCTACGACTTCCTCTAAAAATACTTCTCGATTCAGAAGGAAACGCATCATTAGCGTTTACATATTTTTGCAAAGTACTTTTACACCAACATACGGCTGCACATACTAGTTTTTATGTGAATTTTTTATGGAGGAAGCAAATGCCCATAGAACACAAGGACTTGGCTACTAAAACATCAAGTATAGGACCATCAGTGATTTGCGTCATTCGGTTCACATAATCGAGTTCAAGCCTTAAAAAAACTTTGAAGTTCTTGCACCTCTTGTCCACGTTTTGAGAAACAATTCTTTTCATTTTTATATGATAAAACTCTTTTGCATATCATTACTTATTTTTCTTTTCTTTTTTTTATTTAGTACGGAACAGGATGATTCAATTTTCGAATCTTGAAATATGGCGTATACGCCAATCACTATATGGTTCAATTTTTTATAATATCACAGGACAAAAAGGTTTAAAAAAATTAATCTTATTTTAATATCCAACATTATGGCTAAACCGTCGTCCCAATCCTGAACCATAAATTCCATTCTTTTATTGCAAGTAGAACATAAAGTATGTGTTGTTATTAGTACACGGAAAGCATTTGTATGACAAGTGGGATGCCACATGGGCAAAGGCACTGTGCGGTCGAGATGAAAATAGGTGGGTGAGGTGGGGTGAGGTGGAAAAGCGATTAAAACAGGTTACACGTAGGACAGAAATGAAAGTGCTTCTTCTGAACTCCAAAGGTCATTTTAGCTTACATGGCCTTTTCTTATGAGCATGAGTTGATTTATCCATTCCACGTAGGACCAAAAAGATCGCCCTTCCCTAATTAGATATTTGTTTAGATTCCAAAAAGGTAGGGCCTACGTGGATTATTCTAGAGTTCTTGCTTGGATGTTACATTTTTTATGTTGAACAAGTAAACTCAAACTTTTTGTGTTGTTTAATTGTGTTGTTTAATTGTGTTGTTTAATTGTGTTGTTTAATTGTGTTGTTTAATTGTGTTGAAACTATGGATGGATTACTTTTTGATATAAAATGTAAATTTAGATTTTTTATTTTTAAAAAGCACATTCTTTTATCTTTTTTTTACCATTATTATTTAAGCATTTTCTATTATGTCCACGTCATCAATTTTAATTTTATCCACCACTCTTAGTACACATTCACTAAAATAATTTGAGTAGAGATAAAATAAAATTTTAGTTGATGTAGTTTAAAAAATTAATAACTAAATTTATAATTTTTCCATATTTTCAACGGTTTAATTGAGTACACATAATAATTATCTTCAAAGGAACATGCAATGGAACATGTAATAGCTTTTCATAAATTTTTTATGCAAGTTTGACATTGCCGTTGATTTTATTCTACATCGATTATTTTTAATATTAAAGTCTTAAATATTTTTTTAATGGGAATACCCTAAATATATTAATAACGATGCTACAAACGTGAAATAATTTTTTTTAAAAAAAAAGAAAAAGGCAAATCAGATTTGGTATTATTCTGTTCTAAACTCTTATTTTAATTATTAAACGGTAAATTTGGTGTTTAATTATCAAAATTGATTTTTAATTGATTAATTTTGAAGCGGACAAAATATTGTGATTTTTTGTTTATGAGAAAATGAATTTAAAGTTAAAATGTAAATGAATAAATGGGATATAAATGGATATTGTTATTAATTTAGAAAGAGGGGAAAAAATTAAGGAATTTGGAATTATTGACAGGTGGCAAGGAGATGGAGGAAGGCGTTTGGTGGGCCCAAATGATTTTTGTATATCGCCAAAGTTCATGTATTTTACATATGTTGTAATCTGAATCCCGGACCATTCTCCGAGTCCGAATGGGGCCGACCACTTTCCTTGTACGCGCGTTTTGGAGCGCGTGTTCCTCACGTTTCCCATCTTATCTGACTGGATGCGTCGTCTTCGTTTTCGTGCGCCACTCCATTTCTAAATTCCCTTTCCATCGCCGCTTATATATTTGTATATCCGACGCCCAATGGGTGCCATTCCAGACCCACCTCCATCCATTTTCTCCCTCTCTTTCTCTCGCTTTCTTTACCATCTCCCGCATGGAAGCCCTTCTTCTTCCCTACGAAATTCACCCCCACTCTGTCGCCAAGGATCGGGGACCAGAGTTGCAGGAGCTGCCGGAACCGGACATCCATATCCTTACCTCCGGTGGACTTCGGATACCTGTGCATTCCACTATTCTGGTACTCCATCGGACTTCTTTCTATTTCCTTTTTTTTTTTTTTTTTCATTTTACTCTAAATCTCGTGTAAACTGAAATTTCAACATTGTTTCGCCTTAAATATTGGTTAGTTTCAGTTTGACATGACGGACTAGGGTCCGGAACTTCCTTTTCTTCTTTTTAATAAAATTCGTCGTCTGCGGTTTGCTTTATTTTGCCTTGGATTAGGGGATATGATTTCGTTTCTTTTCGTGTTTCAATTGAATCGATTTGGATTATAGGCATCAGTTTCATCGGTGCTGGAAAACATCATCAACCATCCGCAAAAGCACCGGAGCTCCGAGAAAGTGGTTCAAATTCTTGGCGTTCCGTGCGAGGCAGTCGTTTCGTTCGTTCAATTTCTCTACACATCTAGGTCAGTACGCAATTCCATTACCGAATCGCAAATCGCAATTAGATTTGGTCAATTTTAATTTTGGTAGCAAGTCCAGTCAATCTCGGTAGGCGGATAAGTCTAAATTTGTCGGCGTTGCCTTCAGGTGCACTGAAGAATATCTGAGGAAATATGGAATTCATCTCTTGGCGCTATCGCACGTTTACCTCGTTCCGCATCTGAAGAAGCGATGCAGCAAGCACTTGGCTCGAAAATTGACGATCGACAGCGTTATTGATGTACTCCAACTCGCAAGAATGTGCGATGCACCGGATCTCTCACTCAGCTGTATGAAAATGGTGTCGAGCCACTACAAGGCCGTCCAGAAAACGGAGGGCTGGAAATTCCTGCAAGAACATGACCCTTGGCTGGAGCTTCAAATTCTGCAGTTCATGGAAGAATCCGAATTGGTATAAAATTGTTCATTTTGCTGCCTCCGTTTCCGCTTGATTTATTGTTCTCACGGAGAGAAGACAAGACAAGACAAGACATGAATTCAATTCAATTCACTTCAATTGTTAATTTTGGTCTGCGATTGTTTGTATTAATTATGTGCAGAGGAAAAAGAGATGCAGAAGGCAGAGGAAGGAGCAGAGGGTGTATCTTCAGCTAAGCGACGCAATGGAGTGCTTAGAGCACATCTGCAAAGAAGGGTGCACAAACGTTGGGCCGCGCGACGTGGAACCCACAAAGAAGCCCTGCGCCAAATTCTCGACGTGTCATGGGGTTCAGCTTCTGATTAAGCACTTTGCAACGTGTGCGAAGAGAGTCCACGGAGGAGCCTGCTGGCGGTGCAAACGCATGTGGCAGCTTCTACGCTTGCATGCCTCCATCTGCGACCAATCCGACGCTTGCAAAGTCCCTCTTTGCAGGTAAATTCTCAATCAATGCCCCTCTTGATTTTTTGCGCCATCGCTGGGGCTAAACTACCCTTTTTACAGACATGAAAAAACACCTACTAATCATTACCAAACTTTGATTTGACATGATTCCTGTTTTTATCGTTGATTGACTCATAATTATTTGGTTTGAAACGAAATAGTATGTGGAATTGTATTTGGATTAATTAAATATTGTTGCGGTGGGCGTCTAGGAAGTTTACACGGCTGTTTAAAAGAAAAGAAAAGGAAAAGGAAAAAGTCTTCGGCGGATGCCTTTTACAAAAGCCGAATGATCAAACTTCCATTCCACTTTAGCGTGTTTTTAGTCAATGATGGATTGTTGGGGTATGGAAATGAAAATTGTTGCGCGGTGGTTGGGGAGACCCAATCCAAACAATCCAAACAATCCAATGATGATGATGGACCAAGTTCTAAACTTTGTTGGGTTTGACAGGCAATTCAAGCTAAAAATGGAGCAAGAGAAGGATGGAAAAGAGGATTCGAAGTGGAAGATGCTGGTGAAAAAGGTGGTGTCTGCGAAAACCATTTCCTCTCTCAGTCTTCCCAAAAGGAAGAGAGCGGCAGCAGCAGGGGACACCACGAGCGGCGACCGCATCAGAAGCTTCAGATTACAATGTGTGGAACCAAATGGATCGGTGTTATGAAGAAGAGGTTAGAAGAATGTAATGCTGTGTGTTTAAAAATGGAGAGTAGAGTAGGACACTAGGACCCAGGAGAAACAGAGGCGTTTGCTTTCATCAACTGTTTGTATTTTGTATAGGGAGGGAGGCAATGTGTTGTGGTTGGTAAGAAAATAGGTAGCCAATAAAAAGTCTTTTTTTTTTTTTTTTTTTTTTTTTTTTTTTAGTTTCCCAATATTAAAACTCAGACTGGCTTACAATCGGAACAAACCACCAACTCTTTCTTTCGATGATTCTTGGAACAATTTCAAATTCCAAGAGTTGGGCCAATGGGTTAGTTACTAAAAATAGTAATAATAAAAAAGTCGGGGTAGCCCAGCGGAGATCCAAACAATACTTGGAGTTGAGTCCAGGCCCAACTCCTTCTAGAAGAAGGGCCCAAGAAGCCCAATTGAAGATCAAACTTGAGTAGTGGTATCCGGAGAAAGGAATTGTTTATTAAAAGATAAAAAAAGGAAAAGAAAAGTATGGAGTTGGATTGAAGTGGAAGCAGATAACTATGAATAATACATTTAAGTTATAAGTTTGTTTGGAAGAAGGGAGAAGGATCAAAATCGTGGCTCTCAAATTTTATACATTAAAAAACTCAAATAAAAACAAGGCAGCACAGGAAAGCAAAGCCCTTGTGGGTGAGCCTCACAGTTCACAGACCACTGATTTATGCGTTCTTTTTAATTTATTTATTAAATAAGAACAAGAAAGGGAAAAAAAAACAAAAAAAACAAAAAAGGCACGTGATTGGTGGTCGGATGGCACGGGCTTCCGGCGGATGAGAGAGAGAGAGAGAGAGAGAGAGAATATGCGAGGACAAATATGGGCCTCTAGTTTTGATACAAAGCCATTTACTGGTTTAATTTGGAGGTTTTCGTTTTTTATGTTATTTGGAGTTTTTGAGCCTTTCAGAAGACCAAGGGCTGCTTTTCTCTTTTTTTTTTAATTGGCCTTTTTCACGCTTCAACTTTCGGTCTAAGTTATATCCTTCCCTTCAATTCATCATTCTCTCTCTCTCTCAAATTTGTGGCCTTAAATCTCTCTCCTATTTTAGGGTTTGGTTAGTATTTGTTTGAAGCCTAAACAACCCATCAATTAACAAGACTTTGCGTAACACGATCATTATTCCATCAGACTTCTACTCCTCCTTTTTGTCCAACGATATTCCACTTATCTCCTTTCCAATTTTATGGGGTTTTTATTTATATATAATACTAAAAATACACAAAACACTACAATTATTATGTTGCAGTATAATAACCTTTCAGAAATTCTATTTGTTTTCCTACAATTTAGTTATATAATTATATTCATATTCATATTCAATTGTTAACTAAATTTTACAAACCAAAAAAAAAAAAACAAAAGTCCGTGATCAAACCGCCCTCAATTTTGATTTACTTATTTTTCATAAATTTGATTAAATTTTGGAAAGAGGGATAGAAATAGATAACAAAATATATATATAAAAAATAACTCCAAGTGGGAATAATGCTTATTAATTTAATTTTTAAGAATAAAAACAAAAAATAAAACTAAATGAATATGATTAATGTAAATTAAATAAATGGGCAAATATGAGTGTGATGTAATGAGGATAGGATAAGACGGCAACGTCTCCATTTAAATCCATCTTTTTAAGGGAAAAAAAAAAGGAAAAAGCAGGAAAAGTGCAAAGTGGGTCTTGTGATGACAGCTCATCATTTTATTTTCCACGTCTTTTTCAGAGACCAAACATTTGGAGAAAGACAGCTGTCCGTCTCTCTGCCACACATTAATTATTCTCTTTTGCACAAATTAAAATAAAACAGTCGGTGTTTTTTTATTCAGCCATCAAAATGTTATCTCCTTCAAATTTGGCTAATTTCCAAAACTTTCCCTCGAGATATTTTTTTTAATTTGTTTTATTGCGCCCCAATTTTATAAATTTTATTTATTTTAACTATTTATTTCATACCAATTTAAATCGATTTAAAACAAAATAAACTCTTTTAATTTACAAAAAAGAAAAAAAAAATCAATACTATGGTTGAGCGAAATTCATAAATTTGACAAATATAGCATTAAACCAAAATTAATAACATATCCTATTCCTAGGTGTAATTGATGTTTATATGTTTTTAACCCTACAAGAAATTTCATTTTCAATGACAAGTTATAGCAATGCAAGTAATTTTTTCATTGGCAAAGATAATTTCTTTTAATTAGTTTAATTTCTATGTTTGTGATTCTTACATTAGTGATATATTATTATTGATAAAAATATATTTAATGACAAGCTTACATGTGACTAAACAAACATATTAATGACATGTTTAATGTCTAGCGACATGTTACATGTCACTAGTATATAATTTTCTTGACGCGTATAAGTTTTTTTTTTTCTTCTTCTTCCTATGCAGCATGTATAAAGTTAGAGAATGAAAGTGTACTATTTGAATCATTTATGAGAAAGACTATTGCTATATATGCGAAATAGTGATTTCCACTAGAAACCAAAGAAAAAAACAAAATCTAATCTTGGTGGGGGAGGGGAAAGAGATCCAAAATAGAGAAAGATGTGATGCAAGTGTGTGAGTTGTAAAATGATAGGGTTATTGGGAAGGAGGTGACGGAGAGACAATAATTGGTGGAATTGAATTGAATTTCATACACAGACACAAACACACACAACAAAGATCGGGCTCACATTAAATTCAATTATTTCCCCTGTTTCCATAAGGACGAGACATTTAATATTATCTCTAAATCTTCGTTCAATCATTTTAATACTTCTTTCATGAACTTACCTTTTGTGCACTTTTCACTGAACTTGGTTGGTTTTCTTAAAAGATTTGTCCATGTTCATATAAATCTTATTTTAAAAAGGATTATAATAAACTTTTAAATTCTAGTTTCCTAAATTTAACACTTTCAACATGAAACACCTAAAGGCAGAGTAAGTGATAATAATTAAAAGGGCAAGAAGAGTAGATATTTGTAAGTTGCGAAAAAGAAATAGAAAAAAGGGGTTAAATAAACTTGGTGGAGAAACAACAGAGAGACGGCAAATAAGGAGAGAATAAAGTGGCAATAAGATAGGGAGTATTTGGACGCATAGATAGGAACACATTGAAAATGAAAAAAGGGAAAAGAAAAAAAGAAAAAAGAAAAAAGAAAAAAGAAAACCATCTTCCTATCCCAGTCAACACTGCCCTAAAATATCTAATTTTCAGTTAATAATATGTATTTTTCCTAAATTGGGGTTTTATCCACCCACCCTCCTTCAATATATTTCTCAAATATGTATGTTTTATTTTTATATGAAACTGAAAAATGGTAATAAAAGAGGGCAGAAAATAAAAAAGGTAGGGCGAGAGAGTGACGCGTGTAGGTGGCAAAGTAGAAGCTCAGCCACAAGATTCAGAGGGCTTCTGGAGATTTCCATGTGGAATTAATAAAACCCCTCAAAATATATGCGTCTGACGTGTCGCCCTCTCCCCCTCCTTCCCCTTCTCTTTTCTCTCTCTTTTTTATGCCTTCTCTCTCAAATCCCATCTCCTGCCTTTCTCTCTACTGCTCTCTCCGTTCTTCTTCGCCTTCCCCTCTACTCACTTCTTTCTCAATCTCACCTTCGATTCTCCTTCTCGCTTGAATCTATCCATTTCTCTGCCTTGCTTAGATTCGCCATCTACTAACCAGGTTTCTTTTTTCTACTCTTTACTCTTTAATTTTTTTTTTTTCTATTCTGTGCCTTCCACTTCAATGTTTCCTTCCTTTTTCTTGTGTGGATGTATTTTGTGTTTACTGGGTCTCCTGAGGACTTCAAATTTGGAAACTGATTCAGGAAGTGCTGGTTTTGGAGGAACGGAATGGCATCTGATTAATTCCCAAATCGTGCTGAACTTTTGTGAATTTTAATTTCAGGCACTCTTGGTGGACTGAGATTAAACTTTCTCGCCGGTTTTGCTGCCAGCGCTGATGGGTGTCCAGGTAATCCTACACACTGGTTGCCCTCCTTTCTTTTTATCTTCTGATGTTTTCATGGAAATTTTCTCTCTGGGAGTTGATTGATTGGTCATAGGCTCGTGGGTTGCGTTTATTGTCGTCCCTCTGTTAGGATTTGAGTACCCAATTCCTGTCTTTTAAGTACTCATATCTCACTTCCTGGTTTCTTTTAAATCTCTTTGCCACTTCAGTAACCTAACCCCTGTGGCCCTGTCTTTTACTAACTAATTGACTGCAAAATTGGGCCAAAATTTTGTCCTTTCACTAATTTGGTTGTGTTTTTTTTTTTTTTTTTTATTGCTTGGTTCGATGTTGGGTAATACTGGGTGCCACCAATAGATCCTCTTGTAATTTACAAGATTCCTCCTTTGTTGGTGGATTTATGTTATAAAGTCAACTTTTTTGCCCTTCTTCTGCACTTTTACCTGCCGAGTACTCCTACGGACTTCACTTTTATTTTACTGCCTAACATATTGAGCTATGCATTGCATTGCTACAAGGGTTAGAATGTTATCATTTTATGAAATGGATTGCTGTTAGTTGATGATGGAATTCTAAAACTATCATTAGCTCCAATTTCTTGTGGTCTCTAACTTCTGGTCTTTGTTATTATTATTTCAATATGGAATGTAGGAAAAGAATGAAGGCACACTGTCAAACGGCTCAATTTCTGCAGCTAATAATTTCCTTCCCAAGGATGGGGCACAGTTGGATCCACTGATGCGGGTTAGCTCCATATCCTCCGACAGCAATGAAAATGCTTTGAAGGTAGCAGAATTAACTGCTACGATTTATTCACTTCTCTTTCCTTTCTGGGAGGGTTTGGCTCTGAATTATAATGGCATTTTAATGTATCAACAGGTTAGGAAGCCTTACACTATTTCAAAACAAAGGGAAAAATGGACAGAGGAAGAGCATCAGAGGTTCCTCGAAGCTCTTAAACTCTATGGTCGTGGCTGGCGTCAGATTAAAGGTAAGGCGGTGTGAAATCAGTAATATGAATCTTGGTATTTGCAATACCCAACCCATCATTTAGTGTTACCTTGGTCTTCCTGCAGAACATGTAGGCACCAAAACAGCTGTTCAGATCCGAAGCCATGCTCAGAAATTCTTCTCTAAGGTCAAAAAGTACCTTTTGTTTTCGTGCCCCCAAAAATATATCATTACCAAACAAAATATAAAGGGGATGACAGTGAATTTGTCACCAAAATAGATCGTCGCCAAACCTTTTACGTAACTCCTTACACACTTTATGCACGACCATTCTCACCCTGAAATTTTATGTTGTCTTTTGTGTTTCAGGTAGTGCGAGAGTCTAGTGGCAGCAATGAGAGCTCCATTAACCCAATTGAGATTCCTCCACCTCGACCAAAAAGGAAACCAGTGCATCCTTACCCTCGTAAAGCGGTCGATTCAATTAAGGCAATATCAGTCGCAAGAGAACCCAAGAGGTCTCCATCACCAAACCTATCAGCCGCAGAAAAAGAGACCCAATCACCCACCTCTGTACTGACTGCATTTAGTTCGGACGATCAAATTTCTGCGGTTTCGGAGCAACATAATAGATGTCCATCGCCTATTTCACAAACTGTTGACATGCAGTCAGCTAGAATATCCTCTGTTAGAAAGGGGGAGTTGTACCTTTCGTCAAAATCAAATGGAGGAGAAGAAAAAGGAATGTTATCACTCGAATCATCCTCAGAGCGGTTCTCAGAAGACTCTTTAACTATGGTAATTTGAAATGTCCTTTTAATTTTGTACCTTACTTTCCTTCATGTACTTAATTCGATGTCTAGGATCTGACTATTATTTTTTTTGTCTCGTGCCTAAACATTCAGAAATTCAAGTCAGGATCAGTATATAAGAAAGTTGATAACAAGTTGCATTCTCCAGTTAGAAGCATAAAGCTTTTTGGAAGGACAGTAATGGTAACTGGCGACAAACAACCACCCGGTCATGATTTTGAAGTCACTAAATCTTTGGCATTTGACGGTGACAGTAAGAATACGTGTCAAGCGTATGCTGAGAAGCCTGTTCAGATACTACCTTCAAAACATGTGGATGTAAATTTAGCTCTTGGAATGGATAACAACGGTGATTGGAATATGTCACCCGGTGGAGCCCCTACGAACACCTTAGGGAATCAGGACAAAAGTGTCCCTTATGTGAAAGCCATGCCTAATGCTCCTCAAACTTGTTGGTCTTTGTGTCAAAATGTACCATATTTTTATCTTGCCCCATCTGATCAAACTTCAACTGGAACATGCACTGACCATGTTATGGAAGAAAGGATCCAAGATGACAATTCCCTGGAAAGTTCTTGTGCGGATTCATGTTCTGGCTCCCCGAGTAAGAATGAAAACGAAAACCAGAGCCCCGAAGTAAAATGTCAAGAGCCTTGTCTGGTAGGAAGAGGTAATGCAAATGAGAGTAAGAAGGGGTTTGTGCCTTATAAGAGATGCTTGGCTCAGAGAGATACAAGCTCCGCGCTGATTGTTTCGGAAGAGAGAGAGGGTCGGAGAGCTCGAGTTTGCTTATAGCCTAAGCAACAGATTTAAGGTCGATAAAAGCAAATAACCAACGATGCTTTGACATGGGTTTCTGAGTTCTCTCTTTTGCCTGAGATGGAAAAAAAAAAAAAAAAAAGGATGCCTGATTTGTAGCATATCACATCTAAGGTTAACAGAAGGGACGAAACTTATGGAGTTGTCTCTCTCCAGGCTATTCCTTTTAACATTGGGGGGGATTTGAATGACGATTATTTATTCTGTAAAACAGAACGGTGTTGCCCCATGACTTTTGACATATTTGCAAATCTTACTTCTTGAGGTTTTTATTTCTATCTTCATGATGGAAAAGGTTTGTTTCTCAGCGAATAGAGATTGAAAGAGAGTGCTACGATTCTTAGAACAAACTTGGTTGAACTCCCTAGTGGAAATGGTTCGATTTGAAGTCAAAAAAAAATGTTGGAAGGGTCAAATATTTAATCATACTGAAGGTGAAGAACGAAGAGCACTTCAGGGACAAAAGAATCCAACCTTTCAAGCATCCAATCCTAAAGAATCGTGTTATTAATCCAAAATTATTTTTTTCACTTTCGTGCTTGAAGGATGAAGAAATGATCCAAAGTAATTGGAAAGTCCGTCCTTCCAAGGATGAAGAAATGATTTTCTCCACTTCAAATTTGTTGACAATAAACAGAAGCATTTTCTAACCACAACCCATCCTTGACCACAAAATTAATAATTAGATTGCGTCTTCTTGTTTCAAATTATGTTCCACAATCCCCCGCGGGTCCATGTCTGGTACGGGCACCCCCCAAAAGCCGTCTTAATATTTTTGGAAGTCAACGCTACTCAGGATTTAAGCATTCTTATTCTTGTTACAGCCTGTGATCTTTGACCATAGCCCATGTCTGAGTTCATATTTTGGTTAGGTGAACCACTTGACCAAATCCTCAATACTAATACCGTTTATTTCTAGAGAAAATGCTATTCCTGAAATACACTTCGACCATATCAACATCAAGTTTTCTCATACCAATAACGACAACGCAGAGGCCATCAATGTATGTATTTATATTCCTAAAATAAATAACGGCTCTTTTGAAAATGGATCTGAGGGAAACAATGATCTGTGTACTAACTTTTTAGCTAGAATTTTCTTTAAGGCCTGTAGGGCCCTGGCGAAGCACGGATCTGGATTGTGCAACTTCCACAAAGATCACCCTGCCATCCAAACTAAACCAAAGAGTTTCCCCCTTTAGCCCCCATGAAGCTATTATACTTGAAAATAACATGCACCGAAAAAATTTAAGACAAGATCATCAAAGATCCTTTTTCTATTGAAAAAAAAAACATAATCAGTTGGCACAGATCAAACCCTCCCAGCTATAAGCTAGATTTCAAAATTAGTCTTTTTTTGCTTGAGATGACATCGAAATTTTATCCATGGAATCCGAGATAAGAATATCTTATCAATTCATGTTTCCCAATGAGAAGAGGTGGGGAGGGCATATCCACCGAATAAACCTGAGAATAAGTTCTTTGACTATACATTTCGACAAACATAGTTGTCATTACAAAATTGGAGGAAACCACCACGAGGCCAAAGAGTGCCCCATATTTAACAGTACTTCGGCCAGTTATGGAGCTCGGATACACAAATCGTTCGTTAAAAACACGCATTTACTGAAATACGTATTGTTTGAGTTTACTTCCCTCCTTATAGCAAGGTCATAAACAGTGATCGTTTATGACAAGTCAAGCTAGCAATTAAGGTTTGACCACGATATTTCTCTAATCAATTCTCTTCTAGGTCCATAATAAATTAAACTGAATTTTATTACAATTGACTACATCATGTCGAGTATTCTAGAAACGTTTGATATTTTGGTTATAATGTTCCACAACTGGGAAATGAAGCAATATTAAGAATACATGGATCTCCGATGCTACCTCAAAACTATTATATCCAACTCCTATCTAGATATCTATTCTCTAGCTAAATTTATAGAGAATTTGAAGGGTAATTTTGCTGCTTTGTAATGCCTAAACTAGAGTCCATTTATAATTTTTCGTAGTATCTAGTTGTGCATTCTATAATTGTATATCATAAGGTTGAGGAACTGTACTACAAAGGCTTGCTCAAGATGACAGTTAACGGAACTGAACTTCGCAATTACTAGAGTATAGTCATTTAGAGCTCTTATAGATGGATCTGTCTTCGGCTAAAGGAAATATACTTATGGACAGCGAATCACATTCATTACAAAATCACAGCGAATAAGAAAAGAGCATTAAGATTGGCTAATTCAAATGAGACATCACTTCGCGACGCACACTTTGAGCATTAAGTGGATTTTGGCGATTAAGTCAACAAAAATATAAATTATGAAGACTAAACGCATTTGTAAGAGGTTAGACAGGGTGGAGATTGCAGAGATGGAGGTTTTAAATTACCTGGCGGTGCATTCTTTCAATAGCTTTTTGAGATTCCTCTTCAGTAGCATAACGGAGGAAGGCAAATCCTCTTGGTCAATTGGCTACCTTATCCATCGCCAAATTGACTGAAACTTATCACAATTGGTAATAGTTAGCGCCAAATATTAGCTATTGAATTGTATTAACAAAATGCACCAAATATCAGCTAGTCGACGACCTTATACAAGTTGATCAAAGCTTTTGAAAGCATTTTGCAAGCTCTCTTCAGTAATCTGGAATGAAAGTCCTGCGCGCGCGAAGAAGGAATGATGCAATAAATCCAAATTGTCTCCACAGACATCGTTACCAAAATTACGCCTAAATGAAGTGCAAAATACACAATTGAGAGAAAAAATCAACCACTGACGTAGAGAACCTGCTTGAAGGCGCGCATCATCTTGGAGAAGGCGAAGGTGAATAAGAGACGCATGCCACTGGAAAGAACGGTGAATCTGAAATTGAACGAGTCTTCTTCATAGAGAAGAAGGGGAGTGGCGTAGTACCGTAATTTTTTCACCAGTCCCCTTCTTAAATGGATATTATTGTTATTATTTAATCTTTAAATTAAGAACGATAACTAATTTTAAAATTTTGGACTAAATATTTTACTTTGTTTATAATTTGCACGGTGAAAACTTTTGATGAAAGTATATTGACTGCACGGTATAAAAATAGGTATAGTAGACGAAGTGTGTGGAACTTGTCGACTCGCGTTCAAGATTTAAGAACGTGAAGGCAAATATTGGAGGGAAAGAGTCGAGAATCTTAAGATCGAGATTTGGTTGGATGAACAGAAATTTGTAGGGTTCGGTTCCTTTCATCATGAATTCCGTAAACACAAAAGCTACGGCGGTGCTTTATCACTATCCATGTCCCGACGGCGCGTTCGCCGCTCTCGCCGCTCATCTCTACTTCTCCGCCGCTTCTCTACCCCCTCTCTTTTTCCCCAATACCGTCTACAATCCCCTCAGGTCGTCTTTTCTCCTGCATTTACCTTCAACCTTGTTGCTTAAACTCTGCACAAACACTAAACTTCACTTTTTAATTCTACTTTTTCTTTCAGAACGGACCAGCTTCCCCTGCATCAAATTGACGACGTTTATCTTTTGGATTTTGTGGGGCCGTTTGGATTTGTTGAGGACCTATCTTCTAAAGTTAACAGGTGTTTTTGATGTTCCATGCCCCATTCTTTATGGGTTTTTTTTTTTGCTTTTGATGAACGTGTAATGTCTTTCGTGTGAGTGATTTTGAAATGATTAAAATTACTTTTCATGTGAGTGATTTTAAAATGATTCAAACTACTTTTCAGCTCCATTAAACCACTCTATACATGCTTTCAATCGTATAAAAAAATGTGTTTGAACGGCACGGTTAAACCTAATAATTTTGAGTAATTTTGTTAGGAATCACGGATCTCTATCGTGGTATGATATTGTCCACTTTGATCTTAAGCTGGCTTCTCCAAAATGCATTCCTCGTTTATAAATTCATGATCTTTCCTTAAATTAGCAAATAGGGGACTCCATCCCACAATCAACTGGTTAATGCTGCAACCTGGGATTAGGAGGGAAATGGTTGATGCAAATCTGATGGTTGATGCAAATCTGATGTTTGCGTTGGTGTCTGTAACTTTGAATGTTATGAACTTTCGCGTCTAACTCTAATCTCCTTGAGTCATTTAGAAAATTTCTGTAGAACGAATCCTATGGATATATCATGGAACAAGCTGAGCCTGTTCCAGTTCCATGGTGGGCTCTTCTTCTTAATGTTATTTATTAAGTTATTATGGTTGCTTAGAAATTAATGCTCTTTTTCCCTTTTATATATCTCCTCAAGAGTGATAATACTGGACCACCACAAGACGGCTCTTGAAAAGCTCAGCGATGAGTCTTCATTTGGTGAAAACGTGACTAAAGTTATAGATATTCAAAGAAGTGGAGCTACAATAGCTTTTGACTATTTCAAGCAAAAGCTAATACAAGATGCTTACGGGAATTTTGACGTTGGTTCTTCCAATTACAAAGTGCTAAATGAATTTGAGCGCATGAGGAGACTTTATGAATACATTGAGGATGGCGATCTTTGGAAGTGGAGTCTTCCAAATAGTAAAGCTCTTAGCAGTGGTTTCAAAGATTTGAATATTGAATATGATACGCTTTTGAATCCTAACTTATTTGATCAGGTAATTTCTCCATTTTCATTATCGGTTTTTGAGATTGTTCTCGCTCTGATAGTTATCTGATTTTCTGATACCTGAGGATGCGCGGCTGTTCAAGCTTGTTTGTCTAGACATCAAGTGTCTTCTTTATCGCTTATGTGTGTTTTTGCAGTTACTATCTCTGGATATGGAGACTATGATTAGTCGAGGAATAGCAAGTTTAGCACACAAACAAAAATTAATAGAGGATGCTCTTAATCAATCGTATAGCATTACACTCGGTGGTGGAGCTTTTGGACGTTGTCTGGTATGGCCACTAGTCCCACTCTCATTACCTTATATACATCTTTCTGGCAGAATTGAAATTTGTTATTTATCACGTTGTCTGACAACAAGTAGTCGTTTATGTTGGCTTGATTAAAACTTATAAAATAGTTGCTATGAATTCAAGCAACCAAATGTGTTTGAGGTCTTCGTTCTTGTTCACGAGCTTTATTTTTACTGAATTTTGCTTTTCAATAGGCTGAGTTCTTCTATATCAAATGAACAATCATCAGTTCATGCTGGTTGGTGCCCTTTAAGTTATTTAAGAGAGTGGAGCTGGAAATTGGAAAATAATTAAGGTTAAGAAATAGGCCAAAATGAAGAACCTTTACATTCTCTGATTTTGTTCCTCTCCTCTCCCAATAGGCTGTTGATGCAGATTCTATTTCAGAACTAAGGAGTGAATTAGGACACCAATTGGCTACTAAGAGTCAAAATTCAAATTTAAGGTAAGACAACTGTTCTGCTTATATGATCTTACCTGCGCTTAAACTTACATTATGATGGTATCTACATTGGTCATTGTTCCTTCACCTTTACTTCTGGAATGTCTTGTTTCCTTTCTTCTTTTTGTTATCTCTGGCTGTGTTCTTTATTGATTTTGTCGTATGAAGGCTTCAAGTCTCACTCATAAAACATGTAATGGCCTTAAGTTCTTGTTTTTTAATGACAGGGAGGTTTAAACAAACAGCCTATCAACCCATCTTCTAAGACTAAAGATAAATGTTTTCAATTTCTCCTCAATTTAAAAGACAACTTTTGCAGTTTATTTCCATTCACTTTGAATTCTTGCAGAGGCATTGGGGCTGTTGTATACCGAGTCCCGGCACTTGGGAATGACCAGATGTTGAAAATAAGTCTCAGAAGTGTTCGTGACGAGGACACAACTCGTATCTCACAGGTTGAATGCTTTGTCTTATCTATAGAAATCAAACATTTATCCAATGAGCTAATAATGGTGATGATTGTTGAGATCTCAACCTCTATGCTTCCAGGGATTCGGAGGTGGGGGCCATAAAAATGCGAGCTCCTTCATGTTAAGCTCAACAGAATTCCAGAAGTGGAAGATTTGAATGATGCACACAAGTATTTGCAGTCGTGAAGTAACTTAATGGGACTTTTCATTCAAGGTAATGTTATAGCCATGTGACATAACAGCAGCCAGCATCTGTGAAGATTGCTCATTATAACCCTTCCCTCATCTCAAAGATTTCATCCGGGCGGGATATGAAATAATGTTAATTTCTGAACTTATACGTGGAATGAATAAGTTGTTCTAAATTATACCTACACGGACCAATCTCGGCAGCGTTCGAGATGGCTCGACCGTGAGGCAATCTTGTGAAACTGGACCATGGTTTCCTGTGAACTGCTTGTAGATAATATGGACAGCTTTATAAAATTGAAAAAAATGGAAAGGAATCGGTATATATTGCTGTTCTTCTTATTGAAGTAAACATCGAGAGGTCAGAGATCAGATAAATCACCAAAATATATTCCATAGAGTCTTGTGCATAGTTGATTGATTTGACCCTACAGAACTCACCCACCACACCCAGCATCCAAAATACATAATCTACATATGGAAATTGATGAGTCTGACCACCCTCGAGAGAGAGCTGGTTGGTATGGATTATTATAGTAAAGAAGAAAATTAAATGTATAAAAGTTATGTATGGTTTCAATGGGTGGTGAAAGTGAGGTGAGAGAGATCGTGGAGGGCGATGGGCGATGAATTGGAAGCACACCATGCATCTTCTGTAATGAACTGCATCCATGAATCGTCCTTTTCTTCTTCCTCGACACAAGAAGACGAAGGTGGTGGCATGAGAACGTCAGGGGATAAAGTTTCGTAATCATTGACCAAAGTTTGTGACGTTGAATTTGAGTTGTCTATGAATGACAAACTGCTGCTGCTGCTGCTTTGCCCGCTTAATTGTTCTTCCACTTCCGAACATATTCCATTTTTCTTGAACACTCTACACAACGCGTAAGAATCCTGCAACCCAATACACAAAAACACTCCAATTTTCATCTCCCTTCTCATTTCTCTCCACTTTTCTCTCTTTTCTTCTCCTTTAATCTTGAATTTAGACCTAATTCAACTATGTATCAGATTCTACACATAATATGTGGAACTCGAGAGATTCATTGGGATGATTTTAGTGATGGGAATAAAGTGAAAAGTGGGGAGACATCTTCTTACACCAAAAAAAAAAAAGCAAATGATACGGACTTTTCTTTCGGTTCATTTTGGTAGTTTATCATTTTTAATACCATGAGGGAATCCAACTCTCAGAAATAGAATAGATCATCTAAGATGCTGGAAAGACAGAATCAAATCACTGGTCTGTGTGTGTGTGTGTGTGTTTTAAGTCATATGGAATACCACTTTTGTCTCGTTTGCCAATACAAAACAAAACCCCAACTCAAACTTTATCACTTGAAAGATCATGGTAGAAGTAAAGAATATGTACTCAGATCATTAATTTATTTTGAAAGCGAAGATTCAAACATCTAATTTTTTCGTCGAAAATATATGTTTTAACTAGTTGAACTATATTAGAATTATAGATGAATTAAATAGAGTTTAGTTATTAAGATATCAATACCTGAATACCAGAGCTGTCTTCACAATCCTTGTCGTCGAGGCGATATTCATGCATGACCCAGTCGGTCCTAATGCCTTGAGGGGCTCGGCCTCTATAGTAAACAAGTGTTTTTTTCATCCCAATGGCACGTTGATGAGAAGTCACTCGCCTGTCTTTTCCAGTTGACTTCCAATACCCCGCTCTCGTGGCTCTGTTTGTTCTAAACCCATTTGGATACTTTCTATCTCTCGGACCAAAGAAGTACCATTCCGGGTCTCGACTGGGCAGAAATGACTTTTCTACAACAAATAGGATTGTTTTCTAGTTTCTCAATTTCAAGTTTTCAAAAAAATTCCATAAAATTAGTGGAGAGAAAATTGAATTGAATTAACCTGATAATTCCCACGGCTCGCATTTGTAGAGATCGACCTCTGGAATGATATCAAGCTCGATTACTTGGCCACTGATCTTCCTCTTGAGATAGTAATTGACAAGCTCTTCATCGGTGGGATGGAACCTGAACCCTGGAGGCAACCCCACTGGCGCCATTTCTTTCCCCAGTTCCTTACCAACAACTCTGGTTATTCAGAACCGAACTCTTTTCCCACATCGCCAAATTCCTAACTATTTATATATGGGACTTGCTCAAAGTGCCTTCTTCTCTTTGAGTATCCTTTTCTTTTCCTTCTTCTTCTTCTTCTTCTTCTTTTTTTTTTTTTTGGCCTCTCTCTTTCCCGTCTTTCTCTTTTGCAGATTCTTGGACAAACGTTTCACAGAAGCCCTTTACTTGTAACTTCACACCTAGAGTTTGCCTTTAGTTGCTTCTGCGCTCACCTTCGCGCCCATGATTCACTCAAAATCACAACTACTGCAAAATAAGAGATGGAAGAGGAGAATGCGTCGTGTCTGCCTGGCCTGCATAGCAAGCCGAAGACAGCCTCGGTCAGCCTGGCCTGGCACCTCCTCTCTTTCTTACCATAATACGTATTCCTTTTGTTTACATGTATGATGTAGTTTTAATTGACCATAATTGGAATGTCGGCACCGCTCGCGTGCTCTCTCATTCATTCTCCTTACGCTTATTTGTTCTTGTTTTTCAATATTCCTTTCGATCCTTAAAGGTTCTTTGTTCAAGTGTGTTCTTCAATTTTTCCCCTTTCTCCTTCTTAATTAAGTGTGTGTTTGAATATCGCTTCTATATTGTATCCTAATGCTTCTTTTAATCTCAGTAATTGTTATTCATATAATCTCTTACACCATCAAAATTAAAGTTCATATAATTGTCAACATCTTGACTTTGACGAGCAGCGTAGAGCCCCGGAGGAGCTCGTCAATGATCTCACCCACTTAGCATCAGCCACTGGAAACCGCTGCTGGGCGCTGTAATTTGGCTTTACGCCTCCTCGCCCCACACCAATCTGTCCGAAGGAAGCTCCGTTTTCAAAAACGTCTCTGACGGAATGAAACTTCCATTTTGCCGCCTCTACTTTCCCGGTGCTCCATACAATCTGCCATTGTTATTCACACAAAATAAATTCAAATCTCGATATTTTGTAAACCCGGAAATGGAATGATTTAGTTTATGTCATTATTGCCTGTTTTGATTTTGATGCGATGAACAGGTTGGCTTCACTCTTGACGCTTGGATTCATGCTCCCTCCAATTGCGTATTGCGTCCATCCTTGGTACAAATTGTTCGCCACGTGCGCATACCCATGTCGGATCCTATAAAACGAATGATTTTAATCTAATACCATGTTAATCACCAACAGCTTAGCCTCAAAATGGACAATATCGTATCATTATGAATGTTCCGTGAATCCTAATAGTTACCTCGGCATCCTTTGGTTGCAGTTGGGTCCAAAATGGTTATAGACGACAGTGACTCTCATGTTCTTGTCTCGGACATAGCCGTCCTCGTGGCCGAGAAGAATAACCTTGTCTTGGTCGCGGAACCAATTGTTGGAAATGGTGATGTCAGTGGAGCCTCTGGTGACGTCGAGCAGCCCATCCTCGCAGCGGTACAGTGTGTTGTGGTCAATCCAGACTTTGGATGCTGATACTAAACGAATGGCATCGCCGTCCACGTGTCCAAGCGAAACCAACTTGGAATTAGGGCCCATGACTTGGCCTGCGCCCTGAGCCTTGCAGTGGTGGATGATAAGGCCGTGGATTATGATGTTGGTGGCCTTGGAGACCACCAGGCATGCATTCCCGGAGATGTGGACGCTGGCCCCTCGCCCGTCGATGGCTGTGTAGCTGCTTATGAGAAGCGGCTTGTGGAGCAGGATGTGCATGTCTTTTTGGAAGGTGATCCAGACTTTGGATTTGATCATTGTGGCGCCGTATCGGAGTGTACCTGGGCGTGGGTTTATAGGGTCGTCGCTAGGGTCGGTGACTTGGTAGCGTATGAGATTTCTTCCGATGTTGTTGGTCATTTTTCCAACGAAACCCACCGAGCAAACGCCCAGTTGTTGCCTGTTTCTCCTCCAGTAAGGGTTCGATCTCCAGCATCTGTCAATGGCGTTCATCTTCAACCCATTGCCTTCTGAATAAGAAACTGCGGAGAGGAGAGTGAGGGAAATAAGAGACAGAACAAAGAGTTGGGTGGCGCCCATTTTTGGTTGATTGTTGCTGCTGCTTTGCGTGCCGGGGGTTGATTTTATATGAACAAACTATGAAGACAGTGGAGGAGTTTTTAAATTTTAGGGCATGCCTTCACCTTTAAATTCTTCCTGAACTGGTTTTAAATGCAAGTGGGAGTTGCATTCATATGAAAACTGTTTTTTTTCTTTCATATTTTAACGTTGTAAACTTGTAACTTCTTCTTCATTCTGCTCCTCCTTTAATTAATGTCTGATAAATGACATTATTTTGAGGAAAACCAAAATTTTGTTCCATTAAATAAACGTAATGTGTTTTTTTTTTTTTCCATTAGATGCCTTGATTTTATGGGATTTTCGATATTTCCAAAAAAATAATAAAAAACTAAAATAATTTTAAAAAATACTTATTATTTATATTATGTTCAAAATTAGTAACGATTCAATGGATATGTCGATTCACACGTAATATCTGTCAACTTCATAAATACATAGAAATATTAATGGAAGAGTAACATGAGGACAAAAATTTCATATCCCAACAATAACTGTTTATAAAATCAATCCATTTATGACGGTAAATAAAGATATAAATTATAGTCTCAACTTTATTTATATATGGATATCAATTACAAAATTGGGATATTAATTACAGGATCAATTTCATGGACCTTTAAATATAATTCCATTTAATCAACGTATATGAATATAACGATAATTAAAACTCACAAATAAATAACTAAATTAGAGCGGGCCCTTGGAGTCCAGTGTAGGCCCAGCGGGCCAAACATTGTAACCCACAATCAGACTTTGGGGACCCACCATCTATGGTTGTCTACGTGGCTTCCACGTTCGCCAATGAACGAATCAAACGGTTGTACACTACAACTAATTTCCCCAATAAATAAATGAGTTAGCAAAACAAAATTAAGAGCATATATTTTTATGTTTTAAACTTGTGACAATATCTTTATCAATTTTTTTTTAAATAGAAAACTAGAGAAGGGATCCGAAATTAATAGGTTTTTTTTTTTTTTTGCTCTTTGGAATTTTTCTAATGACTTGAAATTTTATAATGAGAACAACAATAATAATAATAATAATAATAATAACTTGCCAAACATATATTTATATTTAATTCAATTAATCAAGGATTATGGCAGGGATAAGAACGTCCAAAAATATTGTCCGGCATGCTTTTCCTTTTTAATAAAAAATATAAGAATGATAATGA